GACTTCTGTTTTTTGTTTTGTTTTAATTTCAAAATTCCTATTCAGCTCTGGCTATTTAATCAGAAGTTTTTAAAAGTCGTCTTTTTCATTGAAGATCCGTTTTTTTCTTTTAGGATTATACTCAATTATACTGAGTCAGTTATTCTTGGTTGTAGACCTGTATCTTTTGCCTTTTGGAATATTGCTTTCCATATTCCCCACTCTTTTATAGTGGTAGCTGGTAAATCTTGTGTGATCCTGACTGTAGTTCCTGGGTGTTTTAATTCTTTCTTTCTGGCTTCATCACCGTGAGAGTAGTTCCTTCTCTCAGACTTTTTTGTTTGTCAGTCAGACTAAAGTTGGGCCCCTTCCTTTGCCCTTTCCTTCACAGGGCACACTGAGGTTCCCCACTACAAACTTCCAAGATCAAACTTATTTGGAGTCCCTTTCTTGGGAGGGGAAGGGAAAAGGAGAGGCCTTTTCCCTAATCCATGGCTAAGTCTGAGGTTGCCCTTCTTCTGGGGGAATGGATCTTGCTGAGATCTTTTTCTGCAACAGGGAGGGCTAGAAGAAGGAAAGGGGTACTTTTTGTTTACCTCACAATTTTAAGGCCCTTTTCTTCCACAAGCAGCTAAACCCATCTCTCCCCCTACACTTTTTTTTCTTCTAAAAGTGAAGGCTGGCCCCTGCTGGGACTTTTTTCTTCAGGCTGAAGCCTTTGACTGTCACTTTTACTTTTGTACCTCAGGAGCCCCGTATGATTTGTCAAGGGTGGGAGGAGCAAGCTGGTGGCACAGTGGGTCAAGTACTAGGCCTGGAGTCAGAAACGCTTGAGCTCAAATCTGGCCTCAGACACTTACTAGCTGGTTGAACCTGGGCAAGTCACTTACATCTCAGTTTTGCTCAGTTTCCTCTTCTGTAAAATGGGGATAATAATAGCACCTATTTCCCAGGGTTGTTGTGGAGATCAAGTGAGATAATAATTGTAAAGCACTTAGCACAGTGGTTGGTACATAGCAAATACTATATAAATGTTAGTTATTGTTATTCTTCTGTCTCTTCTTTTCTCTCCTTTCTTTCTCCCTTCCTCTCAGAATTAAATATTAAGAAAATAATAATAATTTTTAAAAAAGAAAGCCCAGGGGACTTTAGAGAATGTAATAGCAGCATGGAAGCAGCCCTCCAGGACAGAAGCCTGTGAGGTCAATGTCAAAGGTCATTCAGAGCCTCTCAGAGGCATACTCTTCAGTAGCCCACCACACTGTGTCCATGCACTTTACTTGCTACTGTGGGGATTTTCTATAAAGAGACAGTGACACTATTCTTACGCTCAAAGAGCTTACGTTCGTGAAAAGTTAAACAACTTTCTGAAGTTCATATATAGCTCATTTATTTTGATTTGGGGCCTATAACCATAGCACAGAGTGAAGTGGATATTTACAATGTATTCAGTGACCTCTGATGCTGCTTGTGCAACATTAAGCAAAATGCTTAATTGGCATTGGGCCTCAGTTTCTTCATCTGTTAAAAGAGACTAGATGGGCTCTGAGGTTCATTCCAGTCGGAGGTCTGTGGTCCTGTGTTCCTAATTTGATTGATATAAATAACCACACAAAGTAACTGGGGTACCAAAGTTGCCTTTTCATGGTACAGTTGATCTACTTGAATGCCATGTTGTTTATTTATGAATGGCAGAATGGCCTAGTAGATAAAGGCCAAGCCTTGGAGTCAGGAAAACCTGGGTTGGATTCTTGTCTCTGATCCATTCTGGCTGTATGATTGTGGGTAAGTCACTTAACCTCTCAATTCTCTGAGAGAGTGGTCTCCAAAACTGTCTGATCCTGAACCATTATTAATGAAAATTTTTGAGTTCCCTCATATATTTTTACAAATTTATATATTATACACATATACTACTACCCTAAAAATTACATAATCATAAAACCTGCACAAAAAAATAGGGATAGGGACATCTGGGCAGTTGCTGCTGTGGTTGCCTCAGTAGGTTATAACTACCCATGCTCAGAAGGGGAGAGGTTGGGATCTTGTACAGTGTGGAGGGGCTGAGGGCATAAGAGAATGTGGGAGGATAAATATAGGCATGGTTGTACTGGAGACAAGCCCTATGGTGGGCTATTGTGATGGTGACCTGCAGCCCATCTCCCCATTCTCTGATTGGACAGCTGGGTGGTACAATGGATAGAGTGCTGGGCTTAGAGTCAGGAAGACCTGAGTTTAAATTTGGCCCCAGACACTTACTAACTGTGTGACCCTGGGAAAGTCACTCAACCCCAATACCTGCCCCGTCCTCCAAAAAAATAGCCCCTACCTCTCAGGGTTGTTGTGAGGATTAAATGAGATAATATAATGAGATGATAAAGCCCTCAGCACAATGCTTGGCACATAGTAGGCATTATATGCATTTGCTCCCTTCCTTTCTCTTCTGATTGACTGACCTACAGTCCTTGAGGTCAGGCCATGTCCCCCTCTTTGGAGGTCACTACCGTAAGACTATAAGTTACAAATGACTTGCTAACCTACATTAGTGAAAGGAGTTTCCCAAAGCAGTGAAATCTAGCATGCAGGTTTATTAAGATAATACTTTGAGGGGCAGCTAGGTGGCACAGTGGATAGAGCACTGGCTCTGGAGTCAGGAGGACCTGAGTTCAAATATGACCCCAGATCTAACACTTGACACTTACCAGCTGTGTGACCCTGGGCAAGTCACTTAACCCCAACTGCCTAAAAAATTAAAAGATTATAAAAATTTTTAAAAAGATAATACTTTGAAACTTTGAATAATTTGTGATTTCAGAGGTGTGGGTACATCTTCCATTGAGATGTAACACAGTCTCTCCATACCTTCTCATGCTGTGAGTGACTCATGTCTTTCTTTTTTATTATAAATCCTTCATAGAGGATCTACTCAATGTACAGAGACCATTATTGTTGTTCATTTAAAACAGTTGTGTCTGACCCCTTTTGGGGTTTTCTTGGCAAAGATACTGGAGTGGTTTGCCATTTCCTTCTCCAGCTCATTTTACAGATGAGGAAATGAAAGCAGAGTTAAACAGCTAGTAAGTGTCTAAGGCCAGATCTGAACTTAGGAAAATGAGTCTTCCTGGCTCTAGGCCCAGCACTCTATGCACTATGGCACCACCTAGCTGCCCACTAGAGAACATTAGCTTGTTCTTTTTTATATATCAAGATATCTCAGTGTTATACCTTAGATTGCCCATCTGGCGTCTCTCATTCTAGCTGGCTTGATCAATCAATAAAAATGTATGAAACACCTTTTATATACCAGGCACTGTGTTTGGTGCTGGATAGAGTGCTGTGCTTGAAGTCAGGAAGATCTGAACTTAAATCTGGCCTCAGACCCTTATTAGTTGTGTGATCATGGGCAAGTCACTTAAGGTCTCTCTTCCTGAGTTTTCTCATATGTAAAAGGAGCATACTAATAGCACCTACCTCCCAGGGTTGTTGTGAGGATCAAATAAGATAATGATTGTAAAGTACTTGGTAAAACTTAAAGCATTAAATAAATCCCACTTATTATTATTATTATTGGTCACATACATTATAAAGGGTATTTTTTGTTGTTGTTTTTTTTAACCTGTAAGTGATATTGCATGCTGTGTAGTCTGCTGCTGTTCACTTTGCATCTTTTCATTTCCCTTGGAATTGTTTGTAATTTTAACTCTTTTAAGATTATCGTAGTCCATGATTTTCTCCTCTTTGACATCATCAAAAAAAAATCCATATTTGGAGTTAAGCATTTGAAATAGCAAGTGGTTTGAAATCATTAAAAGCAAAGCTCACTTTCCCTGCTGCAATCCAGCCTGATCTTCTCCTGCTCAAATTTTCTAATTCTTTTTTTTTCTTCTGCTCAATTCTTAGCCTAGTTTAGGATCATAAGCACCAACTGTAGCATTTGCCCAAGGCAGACAAATTGATGGACTCATTCCACCAGCTGTGTCCCACCCTCCCCAAACACTGAGCCTCCCCCCCCCCCCACCATGTGTCAGAGTCTGGACAATTGCATTTTTCAGCCTCCTTGGATTTTTTTCTAATTTTAAATGTCAAGTCAATAAATCTTCAAGTTCAAAGGGCAAAGATGATGAATGAACTGCTCAGAGTCCAGATATTAGAACTGCTCAGGGTTCACATTTTTTAGGAGTCCATTAGCTCATGAAATTGTTCTGTGTGGGGAAAGAAACTCGGTTGTTTGTCTTTTCCCTCTGATGCATATAATTAGAAGGGATTAACAGACACTGGGAAAATACAATTGACTACAAGTATAAATATCTTGCCAGAGTTAAATATGTAGTACATAGGACATGCATTAAAGCATCCTTCAGGGCTCCAGGTTCAGTTGATCCCTAAGATGCTGCAGGTGCACCTTTATATATCTGTAGCTAGGAGTGGGGGGGGGAGGGGAGAAAGGGGTGGAGTGATGGAGGGAAGCTGGAAGAGAAAGCCAGGAAATATGGATGGGTAAGGTGGGTTCCTCCTCCTCCTCCTCTCTCTCTCCATTGCCTGCTCATGCTAATTCATAAGTCCATCACTGGGGCCTAGCATAACTTACTAACACTTTATAGATAATTATGATTTAAGTTAAAACTTTGTGGCACATATTTTAGAATTCCCTCCAAACTTTAAACATTCAACATACCTTCAGATAATTAGGAACACCTCTCTTAATTAGATACCATGGACCCAATTAGCAATAAATGTTAACTGAGTGACTGAGGGGAGAGTGGGTTTGCTTCTTGGAGGAGGAAAAATAAAAGACTACCATGGGATTGGTTTTGTAACCAGTCATTTTAGTTATTAGCATATTAGTCATATTAGTTATTAGCATTTGAGGAAATCTGATGAGAAAAAATATGTTAATTAAAGCAATTTAGTGTTGTCAGGGGGATTGGCAACATATGCATTTTATAGTTTTATTTGAATGTAATTGTCCCGGTGTACATATTCCTGCTGACTTAGCCCTGCTCCTATTCCTACATTTGCAGCACCCTCCACCCCAATAATTAAGGCTGAGGAATGCACAGTGTGTTGGAACACTGCCATCATACGATGGAGCTCTGCCAACCCAGGGGCCGCTGATGCCTATACACTGGAGTACTGCCGGCAGCATTCCCCAGAGGGAGAGGGGCTCAGGTAAGTCCAGCCCTCCATGCACCAAGGGCACATCCCAGAGAAAGGGTGGCGTCATGCAAACATCCATTCATTTGTGTCTGTGGGAGAAACAAAGAAACTTCTGAAAGATGCTCAGCATAGAGCCCCCATATGACTATCTAAATTTATGCCAGCAGAAAAAGGAAGGGAGTGAAAAACCTTTCCTTTACACCTACTGAGCTAATTAAACTATCCCCTTGATTTGCGACTGGAAACACTTTAATAGAACATCACTACATCAGTGAACGCGAAGTTCTTAATAAAACACACACTTGAATGCAGAATAATAACCCCCTTGGAAGGAAAATAAGCATGATTTTAATAAAATTGAATATTCTTTTGGGGGATATTTAACTTGAGCCATGGGAAGGATTTTTGCATATTTCCTACACTTTTTATTAACTACTACAGGAGAATTACCACCTGGTTCCAGATTCTAGTAATACATTTATGCCCAGATGTAAATCCATATGCCTATTTGTGTACATCTGTGATATAAGGGAACTAATTACAAATAGATTCTTCTAGGCATGTACATGGAGCACATTACAAATCTTAAAATATTTTCTTCTAGGAAGAAAATCTTCCTGTGAAGCTCTCTTACATTAAAATTTTAAAAACCTCAACCTAATCTCATATAGTACCTATGTATCTAGTAGATACTTGATAAGAATGAACTGATCAACTGAGGTTATTTTTTCCCTTTTATCAGGAATATATCTCCATGGCCTATAATTAGTATTCAAATCATTTTTAGCAACAGCTTTTTATAAAGCCTATATATTTTTCAAATATTCTTTCAGAATTATGGCAGTAAGGTAATAAAGGTAAGCAACACATGTGAAAGGAAACAGATTTTTGTATTTTAATAATCGGTTATATGAATGTACATATAGAGCCTATATCGGATTGTACACCACAGTGGTGGTGGGGGGCAAGAAATGGGACGGGGAAAAATTTAGAACTCAAAATCTTATGGAAGTGAATAGTGAAAACTAAAAATAAATAAATTTTAAAAAATCTGTTATTTATGAGAAGGTTCATCAGTCATTAGTGTAGGGAGCCCCCACGAGGAAAAGTTTTCCTATGATGGAATGTTAAGAGACTTTCTCAGAACTACATAGCCAATGTATGTTGCAAAGGGGCTGGGACCCACGTTGTCTAGGGATATATCTGCTATGCTCTACTGCTTATCTGAAATAATAATTTTTTAAAAGATAAATATTTATTTAGTTTCATACTAAGATGATTAGAGGAAGCTAGATGGTACAATGGATAAGAGTGCTTGGACCTGGAGTCTGGAAGACCCGAGTTCATATCCAACCTCAGATGCTGACTACCTGTGTGACCTTTGGCAAGTCACTTAAACTCTGTTTGCCTCAGTTTTCTCAAATGTCAAATCGGGATGATAACCGAACCTTCCTCCCAGGATTGTTGTGAGGATCTAATGAGACAGTACTTGTAAGCATTATATGAATGTTATTATTTTTGTTATTGTTATTATTGTTAATTACTATTCTGATAAAATAGAATGGCAGAGTGCTATAGATGATAGAGGGTTGATTTCAGAGCCAGGAAGAACTGAATTCAAGTCTTATGAATAATGGCCATGTGGGACAAGCTATACTTTAAGACTATTTATTACTAAGAATGTGCTAAGCCATATTGGTAGAGAAGGACAGCTGGATGGCACAGTGAATAGACTGCCAGACCTGGAGTTAAGAAGTCTCATTTTCCTGAGTTCAAATCTGTCCTCAGACACTTACTACTTTGTGACCCTGGGCAAGTCACTTAACCCTGTTTACCTCAGTTTCCTCATCTGTAAAATGAGCTAGAGAAGAAAATGGCAAACCACACCAGTATCTTTGCAAAGAAAGTTCTGAATAATTTCATGAAAAGTTGTACATGACTGAAAATACTGAACAACAACAACAAATATTGGTAGAGAAAGTTCCTCACTTGAAATTCCCTATACCAATCACAGGTGCAGGTCCTATCCCCTACACCAATAAATATCTGGAAACTTAACTCTTTTTAAAGGGTATTGCTAAGAACAATTAGAATACTGACTGTAGAATGTGGAGATGTGTTCCTGAGAAGAGACAAAAAGATTACTTTAGTTGATCAATTCATTCTTATTGAGTATCTACTAGGTGCACGGGACCTACATGTGTTTAGGCTATGATTTTTTTGTTTTATTTTTTCATAAAATGAAGCACATATGTGTATGTTCATATATATTCATATATTCATGGCAAAGGGAATAGAGAACCAGCCTCAGAGTAGGGAAGACGTGGGTTCAAATCTTACCTCTGACACATGCTGGCTGTGTGACCCTGGGCAAATCATGTTTGAGAAAATGCTAATCTGCATTTGCAGAGATTTCTTCATTGGGAGCTCCCTGCATGGATGAAATCAGAGATCTGGTCCCATAATATCACTTCTAAATAGAGTGTGTATATGTATATATATATATATATATATATACACATATATATATATATATATATATATATATATATACACATATATACATATATATATGATGTAAATATGTGAATATATAATATATATTAATAAACATTTTTCAAGTGCTTACTATGTGTCAGGCACTGTGCTAAGCACCAGGCATACAAAAAGAGGCAACAGGCAGTCCCTGGCCCTCAAGGAGCTTACAATCTATTACATATTATGTATTTATTTCATTTAAGCAACATAGAGTAGTTGAAAGCTCACTGGATTTGGTTTGAATCTCAATTATGCTACTTATTAGCAGTGTGGGAACTTTGGGTAAACAACTTTCTCTCTCTGGACCACCATTTTTCCCCCTGTAATATGACGTGGTTGAATTTGATGATCTCTAAAGTTACTTCTAGCTCTGAATCCTGTGATTATCCTTAGTAAGCCCTTAATTATCTTGAGCCTGATTAATTAGTTACAATATATAAAGTGATGTAGTATTTCATGTTATAAATAGAAAAAAGATCTTTGATTTTTGTCAAGTGGCAACCCATTTATGGTTTAGTAGATAAATTCCAAGGAATTGTTTGATGTACTTACGGATGAAGTAACTTGCTGAAAGTCTTATGTCAGAGGCAGGATTTGAACGCATATCTTCCAGGTTCTAGGCTCCAATCCTAGCATTTTACTCATTATAGCAAGATGTCTCAGTTCATCATAATAAGCAATAACTATACTTGGTTTCAACAATGAAGTTATTCTTGGTGAAAAGATAATCCAGAGATTGGGGGGGGCAGTTTTGGAAGAAGCCAAGGAACAATGTTAGGGTAGGGGTGAGGTACAGTATAGTAGAGAAAACAAGGACAAGTGGCATCAGTGCTCAGATGAAGTTTCCCTGTGAACCCTGCCAAGGTGAAGACCTCTAACAGTTTCAGGGAGGCCTGGAATTCACCTCTGGGATGATCCTGTGTTGCTATGGAAACCATCAATCCGAACTGAAAGAGTCTTAGGGCAACCACCCACATCTACCACTCTGGGGCAAAATCTCTGAAAAATTCCTAGGGGAACAGGGTTGAGGGCGAGGAAGGGGAGTGACAAAGCCCTATGGGGAAGCAGGGGTTTTTGGAGAGGTCACTGTGAGGTATCTGTAGTCCCTTGCTAGTATTTTTACTGAAGTGACACTCGCCGAATTGGCTGACACTCACATGGGACAAAGTCCAGAAAACACTCCTGAGATTAGATAGTGTTTGGGGTGAAATTTGGGATTCCAAAGTACAGAACAAGTAAGGCCCAGAGCACAAGACAGAACATAGGATCAGCAGAGAAAAAAAGCAAGCCGTCTTTACTGAGGGGAAATACAATAAGAAGGGCAGTCAGGGATGATGGAAACAGGGGAAGGGAGCACCAAAATCTAGCAAAGTCGGGGGTTTGTATAGGGTTCCTGTCTGAGTCAAGCAGAGCCAGCAGTAGGGGCAGGCAGTGGGGTGCCTGGATCTACGGGGTAGGTCAAGGTTTGGGGGCCAGTGTTGCTTTATGCCAGGTGAAATGCCTGCAGAATTAGTGGTTAGTTGATATCCAGACTCCCTTCCAGCAGGAAAAGGGGTTTTTTTGGCCATTACTGTAGGCCTTTCTTTGCCTTAGTGACTCAAGGGATTTGAACCACTTCCTGTGACTTCTTCCTTTAGTGAAGATGGGAAGGCTATTGAGGCCCTTATACATAGATAGACAAACGAATGAGCAGATAGATAGGTAGAGAGATAGATAGATAGATAGATAGATAGATAGGTATAGAGTCCCAGGGCTCCTTGAACTTTTTCCACTTGCGACCCTTTGTGCATTTTGCCAGCGTTTGTTGGTGTTGCGTGGTGTGATGGCATGCATAGTGCAAAGTGCACATGCTTTGTGTTCAGAACAAAGGCTGCAATGAAGTTGTGCAATGCAATATGGGCAACACTGCCAGAAGCACCTCATATTCATTACACGTTTGATTTTGAATTAGTTTTTGGTTGTTGCACGTTCAGAAACCTTTTGCTGTTGCCAAATTTTTTGCGACCTCATATGGTGTCTTGACCCATAGTTTAAGAAGTGCTGAACCAACAAACAAATGAATAGATACGTAGGTAGAGCTAGATATAGATACATAGATAGATAGAGACAGATAAACAAATGAACATATAGGTAGGTTAAGATAGATAAGATGGATAGTAATAGATAGACAGACAGATAGCTTATTAAGTGCTTACTATGTGTCAGACATTGTGCTAAGTAAGCCCTGAGGATGCAAATATAATCAAATAAGACAGACCTTGCCTATAAGTATCTTATATTCTAATGGGGAAAGAACTTATAGAGGGGAACTGGAAATGAGGGTATCTGTTAGGAAGTGAGGAGTGGGAGCACCCAGGAACAAAATGAGAATGATAGCTACATTAAAGACAGAAACATGGGGAAATGACTGGGAAGCATTAAAAAATGCATTAAAGAAAACAAAAAGTTCAAAAGGGCAATTCTGTTGTTACCAT